ACATTCCATGATTTTCTATATGCATCACATCATCAGCCTATAAGTGCCAACTGCTGAGCAAAGGCCTCTTTTGGGCACAAGGAGAAGCTAGAAGGTTTGAGCATTAAATAAGTACTGCACTTGCTAGACAGTTTGATAACTAAAAACTTGTAATTAGAAATTATAAATCCCGGTTTCCTCAAGATGTTTTCCTTCACAGTACATCTTAACGTTTTTCCCTACAAGAAAAGTCAAAAGATAATTAAAAATAGGTTGCATATGGGCAGGCATGCTCATCGCTTACCATCAGCCGAACGCATTCGCCAACAAAAACCTCATGAACTAAACTAGTAAGTAAACAAAGACAAGACAAAGACCTTCAAACCCGTCTTGTTGACATGACAATCATAACATTAGGCGTATCCTAATTCCTAATGTAATGTTCCTAAAATGCCTCTACCGAATTATATCCCCAATTTACGTCGTGGAATATTTTACACGGCACTAAATTATGTGACGCAAGTTCGTCACGGGACTAAATAACGGCGTAACTGTTGGTTACGTTGGGTCGATTCCTACTATGTCCAATTTTTCCAATTAAAATTACTATTAGCTTGGTGTCTTTACTAATTCATTCTGTCTCCTGCTATTGAATTACTATTCACCGAGGGAAGTGAAAACCATAGTTTTTTCTTCTTCTCCTCTTATAATATCTTCTGATTCACTTCGTTGCGGGAACCAAGACAGTTACTCATGTCCCTGGGACGCGCCGGACTTCAGTGTTCCGGTGTTTTTATGGTTGTATCTACTGTAGATCCTGGCTTACAGGAGTTGCAGCGGTTTTGGGAGGTTGTGGCGGGCTTGTCCCATTAAAAAAAAAGTTTTTACTAAGACTAATATACATAACTAGCGACCCGTTTCGGCTTCGCACGGGTGCAATATGCATGCAACCTTTCTTAAGAATCACACTATCTATTAAAAAAACTGCATCAAAATCCGTTGCGTAGTTTTATAGATCTAAACATACATAGGGATAAACAGACGGTGGATAGCGACTTTGTTTTATACTATGTAGCACTATCAGCTTCTGTACAAAGCATCATGGATTCGAGTCTTCTAAGAAGCTTATTGTTAGTGATCTCCAATTGGTCACAGAAGGTCGTCGGGAGTTGCTTACAACCGACCTATCTGTGATTCATTGGAGGTGGCCTATGTGAGGCGGAGGACGGCTTATGGCTTTTTTATATTTGATGAACCGACGTGTGGCCACTATCTCGCCTGGTGGTAGGCGATGATGCTGCCTACGATGAAGCACGTTGTCCCATAAGCAACCTATTCACTCGGGCCTTGAAGACACCCAGGTTATACTCTTCAGGAAACACAGACTCTGTCAAAGTATTAATGGTTTATCTGGTGATGATTTCCATGCTCTTTTTCTGGATTAGAACGACTCTTTTGAAGAATTAGGCGTATCCTTCCGAATTACGTCCACAAATTACGTCGTGGAATATTTGAGTCTGCACTAAATGATATGACGTAACTTCGTCACGGTATACTATGACGCAAATTCAACGTCGCAATAATAATATAGTTAACAGCGCAATATGTTTTTATGGCATAGGTCGGTAAACGCGCAGACGGATCACCTGATGGTAAGCAATCGGCGCCGCTCATGGACAAATAAGTTAAAAGAAACTACGCATTTGACAGAGACCGGGGCAGTAGTGCTCTCTGATAAGCCGTCGGCATCCTGTAAGGAATTACACAACTTAGTTCCCCCCTAGTTCTTTCCATTGTACACACGGCCACACATCAATCTATACAAAACCAGTTTATCCTGGTGTCGCGTCACATCATCTTTCCGCACATTTAACGTTCAGTTTATGCTGGTTATGTAAAGCTCGATGTGTAGCCGTGTGTACCACACAACAATCGGCGAAACTTCACCGATTCATGGTAGATGTCCCACCCACTCGCATGAAGCGCTTCGCTTAAAGCTTCCTTGTGAGTACTGCTAAAGAATGGAATTCATTGAGTCCGTGTGTCCTGAAGGGTATTTTGTTTGGTAGAAGCTCGCCACAACCTCCCAAAACCGCTGCAACTCCTGTAAGCCAGGGTCTACAGTAGAAACAACCATGAAAACACTGGAACACTGAAGTCCGGTGCGTCTCAGGGACATGAATAACTGGTTTGGTTCCCGCAACGAAGTGAATCAGAAGATTTTATAAGAGGAGAAGAAAAAAACGATACGAACGATAGAACACTTTCTTCAGTGAATTACTGCAGGAGACAGAAGGAATTAAGCCTAAAGTCACAAAAAGAGTACAACTGGGTGAAGTCCAGTCGCCAAGCACCACGGAAGGGGTAGATATATATAACCTGGGTCTCTTTAAGGCCCGAGTGAATAGGTTGCTTATGGGCAGACGAACTCCATCATAGGCCGCATCATCGCTTACCGCCAGGCGAGATATTAGTCAAACGTCGGCCCATCAAATATAAACATAAACCTGAGCCTTTTAAAATGCAATTTCTAATACCATTGTCAAGGTTGTGGAGATTGTGGCAAATTCTCTTATGTAGAGAAGGTTCATAGTCCAACGGTGGACGGTCAAGGGCTGTAGATGATAACAACATCATGACAGCCTCATTTATACGGCCATAAGTGTGACCGTAAGATCTCGAGTGTGTTTCGTGATTGGACAAAGTATCGTAGTCCGGTCAATTTAGACCAAAAAATGAGAGTGAAGTTACATAAAGTCCCAACAAGCTGAATTTCTGTGATGTTGTTCAAAACATAATAATAAACAATGTCTAGAAGTTCCCCATCATTCCCCTGTAAGGAAAAAAAATAATTCAAAGTCAAAGGTCAAAAAAATGAGTTTTTCGCGATTTTCAGCAAAACGGTAAGTTTTATCATAAAAGTACTTCAGACAAAAATTGTAGATCATAAAATTATCCATAAAAAATGTATCAATACTTTTTTTCTTACGAGCCATCGTTTCTGAGATATAACGATTCAAAAAAATATAAAAGTTGTTTTCGTCACAATACGCACACGTTTCCACGCCACCTATGAGATAGTGTACTTAGCGCATTTTTTTTTAACGTGGTTTCCTCAGTACTACTCCACGGGTCAGTTGCGATCCTGTTTAATGTAAAACTATTGCAAAATAACGGAAATTATCAAAGATTGGGAAAGATAAAAGCGATGTAAATAGGTGGCGTGGAAACGTGTGCGTATTGTGACGAAAACAACTTTTATATTTTTTTGAATCGTTATATCTCAGAAACGATGGCTCGTAAGAAAAAAAGTATTGATACATTTTTTATGGATAATTTTATGATCTACAATATTTGTCTAAGGTACTTTTATGATAAAACTTACCGTTTTGCTGAAAATCGCGAAAAACTCATTTTTTTGACCTTTGACTTTGAATTAAATTTTTTCCTTACAGGGGAATGATGGGGAACTTCTAGACATTGTTTATTATTATGATTTGAACAACTTCACAGAAATTCAGCTTGTTGGGACTTTATGTAACTTCCAATGTCTAAATTGACCGGACTATTGGGTACTTGCCTTACTTAATCAAAAATATAAATTATTTCGACTGTTCAATACAAAAAAATATAAAAATTACACACTTTCACTAATTGATTTTATGATCGACTTAATTTAAAAAATTTTTTTAGCAAATTTTTAACAAATAAGTATGCTGTTTGTCTCCATAAAAAAAAACATATAATTTGCTAATAAGTATAAGATAGAACAATTGGTAATTGATGTTCAACATTCTTTGCTTTTACCACGGACGCGTTGTCATGGCAACCGATACCACAACAAAATTTAAGCCAAAACAAAACTGGTTCAGATTAACCATATAAGTGAAATATTGTATAGAAATTAAATTTATAATTATATAGTTTAACATTAATTATAATTTAAGTGGCACATGTGTGAGTTATTTGAACATTTTAAGCGTTTTTCTCAAGGTAAGCGATTTTCTTTTTCATGACCTATATTTATAATGGTGTAGATGTTTCTAGTTAACGTTTTTTTTTTTATTTATTTTTTTATTACGTTTAATTAGTGGTAAAAGATTATTGTCTAAATTAAATTGTGAAAGTCTGTCTCTTTAATGAATTTCGTTATTGATTAAATTTACGATTTGGTTCAGGTTTGATGAAGAAATAACTATAGAATTTTTATACTTTTTAAAAATATGATTGTACTGAAACAGGTCGTTTTATGGAATCCACGCATCTGGTTATTCATTCAAAACTATTTTTCTGAAAAATAATACGGAAAAAGAAAAAAAAATAAGATATAATATTTCCCTAATTATAGTTTTCTTTAAAGTAGCATGCAATGGCGTAGTTATTTATTTTTATAGTTTTAATCTACGATATGACATCGATTTGTAGAACTCGGGAAATTATAGTTAATAGGTAAATACGAAAATTAAAATTCTTTTTTCGTTAATGAAATGGAAAAGTTTCTTGCACTTAAATATGAAATGAATAGAAAGTGTGAGAGAGCCATGCTTCGGCACGAATGGGCCGGCTCGTCCGGAGTGATACCACGGCCGAGCAGAAAACCGACGTGAAACAACGTTTGCGTTGTGTTTCGTCTTGTGAGTGAGGTTACTGGAGGCCCAATTATTCCCCTCTCTAATCTTCCTAATCCCTGAATCATCGTAAATCCTCAAATTCCTAATCAAAAGGCCGGTAGCACACTTGTAACACCTCTGGTGTACCAGGTGTCTATGAGCGACGCCGATTGCTTACCATCAGGTGATCCGTCTCCTCGTTTACCGACATATTCCATGAAAACAATAGAAAAGCCGTGGTTTCATGTACCTATTTGGTTTGGTACATTATCTAATTGAGTTTATTTTGAACTCCTAATTTTTAACTAACATTTTTATTTTTTATTTTTTTACAGATTTATCAAAAATAAGACTCGAAAGTAAAAAAAAATATACAAAAAAATGACATTTTTAAGAAGAGAGATGGTACTATATACAGATATATCAAGATAGCTCTTTAACCGACTTTCAACAGTCAGAAAGGAAGATACGGGATAATTGGTTTATGGATGTTAGATCAATGATGTTCCTGTTGTCAGGGGTTTGTTTTCTGGTTTCGGTATTGTCAGGGGTGCAAGCTAAATGGGTGGAAGGGAGGATCGATACCAAAGATGTGAGTTTTTATGCCTATATATATTATATATTTATACTAGCTTTTACACGCAGCTTAACTCGCGTCACAAAAGGATAAAAAGTAGCCTATGCGACATATACCAATACACACAGCGCCATCTATACCAATACTTTTGTTTTCCCTTGGGAATATCAAAATTTTCCGGGATAAAAAGTACCCTATTATTTAATCCGGACTTCCAACTTTACGTCTGCAAAAATTCAAAGCAATCGGTTTAGTAGTTACGGCGTGAAAGCGGAACAAACAAACAAACAAACTCACTTTCCGATTTATAATATTAGTAAGGATTGGTACCTACTGACTGCCTCTTTGGCCGAGCCTAGGGGGCAAGGGGCCTCGCGTTCGATTCCCGGGTTGGCCAAAATATAACATTGGTTTTTAATAAAAATTCTCAGTTGTAGCTTATAGCACGGAGCCTGGAATTGTGTCCAGTATATGGCAATAGGCTCACCCCCTATTACATGGGACTCATAGCTAAAATAGTGAAAAGTAGATGTTACATTGTACATAGTGGCATTAAGTACCGTAATGTACACCTCTGCCTACCCCTTCGGGGGTAAAAGGCGCGATGTAATGTTATATTGATACCTACGTAACCGCGACATATACCTAGCTCGCATGATCAAAGGAAAATGTAGCTTATACACCGTGAAATCTGTTTCGTTTTCGTCCCATAGCAAAACAAGTTGCCATAAGGACTACTTTCGATGTATAAAGTAAAAACAAAAAGTAAAGATGTGTCATAAGAATTAATGAATGGAATACGCACATGAAACACTAGAGGTATATTTGTAGGCACTATTCGCATCACACGTTGCACCCGACGAGTAGTACCTCTTCGAGAATTACATGGCGTGATGTTTTGATAATGAACTATGAGTTCGTATGCGCTTTCGAAGTTTGCTTTTTGCAATGGTTCACTAGTTATTTTTTGTTGTAAACATTTTATTTCATTGTAAACCCATTATACTTCGGGACGAAAACGAAATAGATTTGTAGGTATATCTCTTAATTATTTGGAGATACAAGCCATTTTACTAATCTTTATTATAAATTCAAAGGTTTATAATATGTTTGTTAGTTAATCACGTCAAAACTCCTGAAGGGGTAGATTCAGAGTCTCAAAATTAAAAATCTAATTAGTCCGTCAGTTAAATAATGAAAAATGTTAGACACGTATTTTTGATTTTCTCGAAAACGTGGATGAAGTCGCGTGTCAAAGTTAGTACCTTAACAAATATGTTGCCCAGAGTCGTATAAAAAACATGCAATAACAACATAAATGCACAATAGTTGCGGTCTTATCGTTAATTCTAATCTTTGAATCGTAATGATCGTCCCTCAATTAGTGAATTGGTCGCAAATAAGACAGTCATCAACAAAATCTTTAGTTCAAATTTCAGGGGGCTTACTCTTGAATCCAATTCCGATCGATCGACATTGGTATTGTGAATCTGACTCTTGAGTTGCAACACTAGCGCCCATTGCATCCGTATTGCGTGGATATTGAATGAACTAAATGGTATTGAGTTTGGCTTTATATTCCGTATTTTAAACGCTACTTTAACACCTACGATAGGGGTTGTATAGTTTTGACATTGGATAATTATTGAGATTTTATTGGATTGAAATTGCATTGACATTGAGATTGGATTCAAGAGTAAGCACCCAGGTTGGTACGATAAATTAGCAAGAGATTTCAGGTTTGATTCCTATCAAAACCATTTCTACTTGTGTAAATCAGGATCTGCAGTATTTTTTTTTTTTTTTAACGGGGGAAAATCATCGAATGACTTCTCCCGCCTGGGTGAGGCGGGAGGGAGTGTCAGACTCTTACTGACTAAAAACCACCCCGTTCCTTCTCCTGCACGTCGAGCCGGAGCCCCGGTTACCCGTTAGGTTCTCCGCGACTCCGGAGTATATACATTGACTGCACGGTCTGCGCTGTGGTTGGACAGCCGGCTGACGCGCAATGTGTAGCGAGTCTCATTCCCGCGCGGAGCAACTCTTTGTGTGATCCACAGATTGTTGTTCCGTGTCTGTGTGTCATGTGTATGTGAACTTGTATGTTTGTAAACGCACACACGACACAGGAGACAATTAATTATTATGTTTTCGGCTTACTCACGTAGTAATTTGACGAGGAACTCGACTAGTTTCAAGCCATGTCGCCGCGTCGCGGGTCGCGAAATGCTGCTCATTAAATCATCAAACGTGAGTAAGCCGAAAACATAATAACTTATTTAGTATGTCTCACGAAAGTTACAATACAAATACAGGAGACAATCCTAGTATGGGGCAACGTTTTTTTTAAATGTGTTAGCGTATTATGGTTTAATTTAATTATTTAATTTCTCGGTTGCCAAAGAAGGAAAAAAAATAATTTGGATTTTTATTGTGTAATAGACTAAACTTCTTTGTGATTGACCATAAACAAACAAATAAAAATAACGCACTTGGATTCTCGAAATGTCAACTGATGACATCGAGAACGCGGGTTTGAAACAAAATAGAACGGGCTTGATCTCTCGAAACGTCATTTGACGATTTCGAGACGGCGCGCGGGCGGTCGAAAAAGGCGGGAAAACGAATGGGATTTTGAACGGATGGCGTCATTCTGTTAACGGGACTATTGACGAGAGGAGTTATAAATATTCTGTATTATCGATACCAAGTTGTTTTCTGTATAATCTCCGTTTCTGGCCTTCATATTCTGCAAGTTGTTGATGCTACAGTGGAGTTGCGTTTATAAATGCTTTGTATTATTAAATTTAGTGTCGGTAGATTAAAAAACATAAGTCATGACCGACTGTGACATAAATCCTTTAAACCATCGATGAATTAATTTATTTTAATGTTTTTGGTATAATAATAACAAAAGGCACTTTTTTGACTTATGTGGTTAATCTGCCGACCCTAGAAATATCCTCTTCATCATCTCCACAGAACTGGGCATTCCTCGCTCGTTTTTGCTTCCTCTCCCTGGAGGGGCAGTTCGAGTACCTCATAGAGTATGACAAGGATGCTGGTATACCTAACCTCTTGCTGTATTATGATGATGATTCTCAATGGCCGTCCGTATATCATAGTAGTAAGGTAAGGTTCAAAAATTCATTCTAAAGTGTTGCTGTAATTAAGAAAGAAAAGAGAAAGGTTCAAAAATGAAGCCAAAGTAATTGCTAAACAAAACGAAATCAAAATAAGTACTTTGATACACGAAGATTTTCTCTGACGACTGTTTAAAATACAATTTTTATAAACATTGCACTACCAGGACCATAAAAACTTATAGATTACAAGACTAATTGTCCAAATCTCTGCCTCGTTGGCCGAGTGGTAGCAAGTGCGACTGACGGACCAGGGATCTCGGGTTCGATTCCCGGGTCGCGCAAAGTATTACTGGGTTTTTAAAAATCCCAGTAGTAGCACGGAGTCTGGAATTGTGCCTGGTATATGGCAATAGGCTCACCCCCTATTACATGGGACTCATAACATAAATAGTGAAAAGTGGGTGTACAGCGGCATAATGTGCACCTCTGCCTATCCCTTCGGGGATAAAAGGCGTGATGTTATGTAATGTTATGTAATTGTCCAAATCACAATTTTGGAATTCATTCCAAATGAAATCAATCAAAAAGTTTTCTTTGACTACATGTCAGTGGCCACGAGTAAAAAAATAAGTACCTATCGAAACATACACAAACAATTTTACGTACCCAAGACCCAAACCGCGCGGAAATCGTATCTGCATCACATTGTACAACTATCAAATACTCATCCATTGCTCTAACCAAATTACCATTTCTTTACAGACCTGCAAACAAAGAGAGGACGTATTGAACAGAGCTGGACAGAACCAGATCATCAGACTATCACACTGGTACCCTGACACGGAGTACTCAGGGTGTATCATCACGAAACATAACAAGGAGTTACCAGCTGCCAAGAGGTAAGGTTTTACCGTATTATTTAGAATCTTGTCTTCTTTTTAGGTATGAAGTTTCAAATTGAATAATTTAAATATCTATGTAGATCACAATCATCTTAATTACCTAAGATTTCTGTTGTGCGAATGTGCATAACTCATAATAAACCGGTGACCAAAGATTTCTTTTAAGTGATAAGCCGGTACACGAGCATACGGATCACCTGATGGTAAGCAATCGGCGCCGCCCATGGAGATCCGAAACACTAGAGGCATTACAAATACGTTACCGTTTTGACGATTAGGAATTTGAGTACTGTTGAGAATTCCGGGATTGGGGAGAGTTGGGATTGGGTAATTGGGCATCCAATACCCTTGTGGCGACACATGTTACAAATCAACGGATGACGTCATAAAAATCCTACATCGCACATGCGAAGTTTACATTCGATTTAACACGGATAGAAAATCTCAACGAACAACTGTTGGGCAGAAAGCCCGCCAGGCACGATCACCTCGCCTGGTCGGAGGATCCTCTTTTTCCGATCTTAGGGAACTATACTCACGAGACGAAACACAGCACAAATGTGGTTTCTCGTCGATTTTCTGCTCGGCCGTGGTATCACTCCGGTCGAGCCGGCTCTTCGTGCCAAAGCATGGCTCTCCCACACTTAAATAATAGAGTATCAGGACCCCTACTCCGTATGCAAGTATTGTTATACCAGACCTGAGATGCTTAGGTTCTCTGATGAACTACAACTATAGTTCTTTTATCTCACGGACGCGGATGAGCCAGAGTTGTAGTTGTAATGCGTATAGACACGCGCGCTTGCGTGCATAATACGCAGCAAGTTCATTCGTTGGCCACCGGCCGAAACTGGGCGTTGCCGAGCGTGCGCAAACAAAGACAATGTGCGTGTACATTTACCCACACAAGTATGGCGCACCCGCGCTCGTGAGATAAAACATCTGTACTGCATGACGTTGGCTAGTTCTTTTTTGTATCACATCACATCAATAGTCTATAAGTGGCCACTGCTGACCCTTTTGTCAGCAGTTGAGAAGAGGCCTTTAGAGAAGCATACAAAATTATGCATTAAAACTTTTTAATTACTATGTTTTCGGCTTACTCACGTAATAATTTGACGAGTAACTCGACTAGCTTCAAGCCATGCTAGAGGCTCATATTCATGAGCAGCATTCATGAGTAGCAGCGCGACAGTCGCCGCGTCGTGGGTCGCGAAATGCTGAGAATGTCGAGTTCCTCGTCAAATTATTACGTAAGTAAGCCGAAAACACATGTCATAATAATATATTTAGTATGTCTCACGAAAGTTACAATACAAATTAAAACTTTTGTTTAGTAATTGCGCTTGTCATCCAACAGCCTATAAATGCCCACTGCTGAGCAAAGCCTCTTCTCAACGGAGAAGGTTTAAGCATTAATCACCTACGCTTGCTCAATGCGGATTGTCCCTTTCAAACTTATAAATTTATAATTACAAATTATAAGCCCAGGTTTCCTCACGATGTTTCACTTCACCGTTTGTCAGTGGTGTCTAAATAATCTTAGAAAGTACATATAACTTGGAAAACGTCACATTGGTAACTGTTGGTAGGTTTCGAACCCTCGTGCATGAGAAACGGGCGTCTTAGACCACAGAGCCACCACGACATTGTTTATATACCGGGACAGATTGTCGTGTACAAAATCTTGATGATATTACGAAATAGTATACCTATAAAATATTTTTATGTTAACTACTGATATCTAAATTGCATCTCTGAACCAAATAAGTCTTTGTTACTTCATACTTAGTCCACGAACCTTGGCCCACCTACATATAATAATGGGCTTGCTCTCAATATGAGAAAGGACATGATCTTGACCTAACTCAATTACTGGACCCTATATATAAGGTATTTTGCTCTACTACAAACTGAATATTTACATCTATACACATAAATATAATTGACACGTAACATACGATCCAAATAAACATTTTTTATAACTTTTGTCTATCTGTCTGTTTGTTTGTACTGGTTACTTTCTGGAATGGCTGGACCGATTTTGCAAGATTATTATTGGCAGGTAGCTGATATACCAAGGAGTAACATGATTTACTTTTATTTGGGAAAACTGAAACAAAATAGTGATTTCTTAACTCGTCGAGTACCGTCATTATAGACACAATTATAGAACAATAGGTTGCGGTCACCGGTGACCGCTTGGTATTTGACAGTTTAAATTAATATTCTACGCGGACGATGTCACGGGCAACAGATATTACTATAATAATTTTACAAATTGGTGCGCTTTTTTGGTAATGAGTAGAAACGTTTACAAAATCTCTAAATCCTCAAATGATTAATAATGATTTCCATTAGTTGAATAATTTGCGCGTTGGCTACCTAAACTATAAAAAAGATTTGAGAATAAAACTGAAGGTGTGGTATTCCTACCCTATCAAAACCAATCACTATCAACATCTGTTAGGAGCACCAGATCTATAAATAAACGAATGGGACCTTGAAAACCTTCAAAAGGCACCTAGCATTTTGGGGTTTCTTCCCAGGGTTGACTAGGGATATGGGATTTACTTTACTAACACCTCCCCGGTGGCCACCATCTGCACTTGAAGGTGGCACCGAGTAAACGAATGGGGCCTTCCATATTTTTGCTCACCATATGTTACTATTGTGAACAAAGTCAAAGTCAAAGCATTTATTTCAATTGGGTACTTGTCTATCTCTTCAATATGATAAAATATTGAAATCACACATTATCACACTTTCATTAATTGATATTATGACCAACTTAATTTTAGTAGTTTTCCAGCAATTTTTTTGAGAAATAAGTATGATGTTTGACGCTAAAAAAATGTGACGTCACTATACACAATCTCGTACAAAATTCATAGAAAACTGTCGTTTTTGACAGTTCGAAAAAAGCATTGAATTTGACTAGTTGGCAAGTATCCAATTAATTCTTGATTTCACTTTTGTGAATTGTACCCAATTAATGAAGCTAGGCGCTCGTTCCAAAGTGTAGTTTCGAACGGAGAAGAACGAGAGGAAAACTCAATAGTTACTCTTTTTTTTAATGTTTTTTTACAGTCTCACAAATACATTACGTAATCCTCTTGTTCTTCGTTCTTCGGGGAATTTACTAGTGTTACAGCATCGGACAGTAGCTGTGTACTAAAAAATTGGTTCCACAGAAAAAAATACTGCCTCGTTGGCCGAGTGGTCGCAAATGCGACTGCTGGGCAAGGGGTCTCGGAAGGTCGGGCAAAGGGCAAAGTATTACTGGTTTTTAAAAAAAAAAAACAATAGGCTCACCCCATGGGACGCATAACATAAATAGTGAAAGGTGAGTATTACATTGTACAGTGGCATAATGTGCACCTCTGCCTAACCTTTCGGGGATAAAGGGGTGTGGTGTTATGTTAGCAAGCAAAAAAAAAACGTTAGCCCCATTGAAAGGTCTTTCTCCTTAGATCTTATAGTACCTACTTAACAATGAATAACATCACAAAAATCCTAGTTTTATTATACGTTAGGTTACTGACATAGCACCTACGTTTAAGAGAACAACTGACCCATATTCCTTAACACATTCGTCCGTGGGGCGCCCACAGTGCACACAGCGACACATCGACCTATGTAAACCACTTTATCTTGGTCCCATTTCATATGAACTTTCCTCATATTGACGGTCAGTTTATACTGGTGTTTAGCTTGATGTGCTGCATTCAGCAGTTAGGGGATAATTTAAGTAATCTTAAAGCTATCTGTGTTTGTTTTAACTGTTATTTATTAAGATTGTGTAGACTAATGCTTGTTGATGTGGTAAGTTAGGATCCTCGATTCAGATCTTCAATTGAGTATAATCGGTTCTCTCTCATTCTGGAGTTTTTAACAATGAATATGTACATACGTGACATCTATTTTAAACGTTCCAAGAAGCTGTAGCTGGGTTTTTTTATCAATAAAAGTGGGAGAGCCATGCTTCGGTACGAACGGGTCGGCTCGAATGGAGTGAAACCACGGCTTCACAGAAAACCGACGTGAAACAACGCTTGCGTTGTGTTTTGTCGTGTGAGTAAGGTTACCGGAGGCTCAATTACCCTCCTCCCCAGTCTCCCCAATCCCCGAAACCTCCACAATCATCCAATTCCCAAAAAGCCGGTTACGCACTTGTAATGCCTTGGTGTTCCAGGTGCATATGGGTGATACCGATTGCTTACCGTCAGGCAATCCGTCTGCAGGTTTACCGGCGACTGCCATAAAAAAATTTAACGTGTAATTTATTAGTCTAACAGAGGAGATGAATTTAAAATTTTCGTTATTTCATTTACAGTACAACAACACCAAAAGCAACAGATCCGCCGAAAAAACCGAAAAATTCGACCAAACTGACACCTCCAGAACCGTCATACTACGACCAATTTTTAAAAACAACCACTCGAGACCCAAAAGCTATTACAGACCCTAATACCAACACCACATGGTTCGAATTGCTACCAACTGATGGCAATTTTACTACTATGACTCCTGAAGATGAATTATGGGAGAGCCTTGCGCCTGGAAACGGCAGCCATCTTGGGAATCTGAAGGATGACGTTGAAATTCTTTTTGAGAATGGAAATCGGAGTGGGGTAAGTTTTTTTGGAGATTTAGAGCTGTGTTGGGATAACTAAAGATTATTTTGGGTTAGATTCTTACGACCTTGGGAAGTTCAGCTTTGATTTGGACTTTGATTCCCTCTATGAGGAGAAGTACCACAACCAGTACCATGTATACCATAAGGGCACTCGGGGCTCGTGCCCAGAGCCCCCATCCTCAGGGGACCCCGAAGCACCGACAACAGTGGGTTCGATTTCCGCACGGAACAAATCTTTGTGTTATCTACAAATTGTTGTTTTAGGTCCGGGTGTCATGTAGTTTAGCATAGTCTAAGACAGTCAGGGCCTGACCACAATGTACTTACTTATAAAAGAATATCTATTTATGAAATTATATTTATACCACCATTTCCCTGAACTGACTTTTGGGTTTGACTTTACGTAGACTTGACGTTGTTGACTTCATTTTAGATTCAAAAATTACAGTAACTAGAACGAGTATGAATTTAGTCCCAGAAACGCCTGGTGTTTGTTAAAAAGGCAGTACAGTAACAGTTTTTGGTAAAGTTACATTAGGTGGTGACCAATAGCAAAAAATACCTATTTAAGGACATCTAAGTGTCTGTATTTAGCCCTTAGAAAAACAGTAACTAGTGGGTACCTGTTTAAAATAGTTTTTAAACTCCATAAACCTCTTTTTTCGTTTTTTCATTCCAGCACAAAATAAAAAGATCGTTAGATCTCTACGAGCGATACCGACGCCGTCGTCTGAACGCTGAACCGAAAGCCCTTGCAAGTCAGAGCGAGAAGGAGCACTTGATGGTCACCTGTCACAACTCTAGGAGATTCAGATCAGCTAGAGAGCGGTGGTGGTTCATTGCCATCAGCAATTGTGAGAGTAATAAGGTAAGGAGTTGGTACCTATATTTTGAAATGCTATGGTTTCTTGTGCAGTGCAGTGATTGGGAATGGCAATAAATGAAAAAAGTAGGTATGACATTGCTACAATGATACTTGTTATGCAATAGGGTGCAGATGAGTAGTCAGATCACCTGATAATATGCTATCGGCGCCATCCGAGCAAAACCAAGGGAGTTACAAATGAGTTGCTGTACTTCTGAGGATTGGGGATTTGAGGATGAAGGAAGGTTGGGACTCTGGTAACTCGCATTTTCATTGCGACCGTGGTTTTACTTCAGTCTAGCCGGCCCATTCGTACTGAAGCATGGTTAACACACGTGAAAGACGGCATAGTCTCATATGACAACTTGTCATACAAGGGTCAATGATGATATCGGTGGCGTATTTATTTCTTCCAGGGTCTGGACATCCGATATAAATTCTTGATGACCAACGGGCCAGATGGTGATTTTTGGCATGAACACTTCTCTGCGGACGAATTTTGTGAGTAACAGTGTAAAAGATTAAAAATTATTGGAAATATATTTTTTGCGCTAGAATTTTTGAGACGAACCTGACTATAGAATACCTCGAGATTAATCCTCAGTGTAAACAACTTCGATCAACAATAGCGACTGTTGATCGAAGGTGTCAATGATTTCAACTTATTGAGCCAGTTTGGTTTTATCTTACAAAAAAAGTCTTAGGTTCCATTGCCGAAAAAGGGTGGCACGAAACTGCTGGATGCAGGTCACTTCTAACTGCCTATTATGGAAGTCATATTGTGGCCTATATCAAGCAATAGACGTCTTGTAACTGATAATAATGATGATGATGATGATAATCATGTAGTGATAGATCGACCAAGCCGTCGTACAATGATAATTGATATAACAATCCCACATGACGAAAAACTCGTGAAAGCTGAAAAAGGTTAAGCAAGTATATGTCTTGATTTATCTCGACATGTGGGTTGTGGTTTCAACAATCATTGTTTCGATAGTGGTATCTGCCAATGGCCTCATTGCTAAAAGCCTCGACCAACACCTAAGTAGGCATAGCGTTAGATGGTTGGGTCAAGGGCCTGATGCAGAAAGCGGTACTTCTGCACGCGGCGCGTATTGTCCGGAAATTCTTTTCTCTGGAGCCCTGACCGCCGGTAGCTTGGATTTCTCCCGCTGCTGCTTTTTATATTTTTTAATATATTTTAACAAATATTAAAAAAAAAGGATTATGATAATGAAAATTGAATAACCGAATCTCTTTCCACAGATGTTCTACCAGTACTCCTAGCGTACACCTTTGCATATGTTGTGGTAATGATAGCCGTAGTGATGTGCAGTGTCGAGTTGAAGTCTAGACACCTTCTCCATTCGACATATAAGTTGTTCCTAATGTCAGTCGTATCCCAACACTCAGGAGTTATGCTGCAAAGCTTAGCTTACATACGATATGCTGCTAATGGATTTGGCACTGAAAATGCTAAGATTGTTGGTGAGTTTAAACTTTTTTTCTTGAAAAGAATTTTTAATGGTATACGACCAGACGGTACTAATGGTAAGCAATCAGTGTGGATAGAATGGACACCTGCATCGCCAGAGGTGCGTTTTTAGGGATTGGATATAGAGAGTTGGGGATTTGGGGAAGGGGTAGCTACCTACCCCAGGTGCACATTTTAAATTTAACATTTTTGGCTTACTAGTTATGTTATCAGCTAGCCAATATCAAGAAAATTTTCAATGTAACCCATAAAACACTTTGCCATAATCTGAATGGCCATGCTTGGCAACCGGACTGAAGATAGCACCCTAAACTTTGCTATAATCTGAATGGCCATGCTTGGCAAGCGGACTGTACATGGTAGTTTAAACTTTACTATAATTTGAATGGCCATGCTTGCCAAGCGGATTGAAGATGGCAGTTTAAACTTTGCCATAATCTGAATGGCCATGTTTGTCAAGCGGACTGAAGATGGCAGTTTAAACTTTGCTATAATCTGAATGGCCATGTTTGCCAAGCGGACTGAAGATGGCAGTTTAAACTTTGCTATAATCTGAATGGCCATGTTTGCCAAGCGGACTGAAGATGGCAGTTTAAACTTTGCTATAATCTTAATGGCCATGCTTGCCAAGCGGACTGAAGATGGCAGTTAAAACTTTGCTATGATCTTAATGGCCATGCTTGGCAACCGGACTGATGATAGCAGCCTAAACTTTGCTATAATCTGAATGGCCATACTTGGCAAGCGGACTGAAGATGGCAGTAATAGCTACCGAAATCTGAATTTTAAAGATAACAGTTTATTTTTAGCTTGGCTTTGGATGTTGTTAAGAACACCCAATAAAAAGCAACGATATTTTTAGTTTGATGTCTTGAAACAGACTTATAAAGGTTCAGGTTTATCAGAGAGTGCTGATGATGCCCGATCTTTGTCAAATATATAGTTTCGTTGTCAGCTCTCACAACACTCGCGCGAAGAGTGCGGTTGGTAACAAATGCATTCTACTCTACTATCCAAACTTTATTTACAAATCATTTTATTTCATTCCAGGTCAATTCCTCTGCGGTCTATCAGAGATGTCGTTTCTTCTACTTTTGGTATTAATGGCGAAAGGTTACACTATAACCAGAGGTCGATTGAAGGTCGGGTTCACCGTCCGGTTGACTGTGTTCATGTGCTGTTATATCGTCACTTATATCGTGCTGTTTATATATCAGGCTAAGGTGAGTTTTAGAGGCATTTTTTGTTAGTCTACTTGTCTTAAATACTAACTTGTCTTTGCATTATGTTTCATAATCCAAAAGAGATATCTTCGCTTTCTTTGTTTTCGTCTAAAGATACCGTATTGATAGGAAAACTCTACGAAACTATGTAAAAGATTTCATCTGCACCCATTTATAAATCGCTACCGAATAGCGGATTGTGTTTATTTTGTCAAAATTCTAAATAACGAGATCGATTACTTAGACTTTCTGAATAAGCTGTTATTTAATGTATGTGTTATTTAATCTATGTTTTACAAATAATAAATGATTGATTGATTGATTAAGTTCCGCAAAAATCGATTCGATTTAACCCACCAATAGCTGTCCAAACGTCTTCCTCAAATTATAGTCAGAACTCCCAGATTGTGCGAGTGAGCAGGGATTTTAATAGATTGTGCAAATATTTAGGACTTGATCTATTTACCACAAGTAATTCCAGGATGCGTAAGCGACTTAACCTTTTTACTGAATATATGTTATTATAATTATTTAACTCGTCGAGTACCGTCATTATAGACACAATTATACCTCTAGAACAATAGGTCGCGGTCACCGGTGATCGCTTGGTGTTTGACAGTTTAATGTCATTTCTCAATTGTCAATTGTCAATACAATGTTTATTATCTATACTTATAATAAATCTGTAGGGAGGTCAATTCTGTACATAAAATATATTTAAAAAATAACTATCAAGGGGTGGTTAGGGATCGCTACTGATGCCAAAAATGCAATCAGCAAATTTTTTGTCTGTCTGTCTGTCTGTCTGTATGTTCGTTATGGAAACAAAAACTACTCGACGGATTTTAACGAAATTTGGCACAATTATTCTTCATACTCTTGGACAGGTTATAGTATACTTTTCATTACGCTACGATCAATAGGAGCAGAGCAGTAAAGGGAAATATTGGGAAAAAAAAAAAAGTTACTCCATTTTATAATAAAAATTCAGAACAGAGGTAGAGTATGGTGTGATGTAATACATTGGCATTTTTCCCCTGGGATCGCGGGCGATGCCGCTGGCAGAAGCTAGTTGGAAAATAAAAGTACGGTGCGACTATTAATACATATATACAACTTAAAAAAAAATTAAAACTAAAATATTTACACCTTAATTTACTGAATAGATATTTTTCTAGTTTAATGGTGCATTGCATTCGCAAAAACTCTATAAAGATTCACTGTAGATAGCCGTTGAAACCTATAATTGGCTTTCTAGTAGCATATCCTGAATTGTTAATCTTTGAAATATAGCTATTGGTTACCCTAATTGAAACAAATGAAAAATAAACAAATAATGTGAGGCCTTTTAATCGCCGGATGAGTACCTAGGCATATTAACTATATTAAATGTCAAATTCATCCCAATTCATCACTTTTGCTATGAGTCCCATGTACCAAATAGCTTGAGGCTATGACCATATTGACTACATTTTTATACCAAGGTATTATTGAGAAATCCTAGAAGACCTTAACTTTGCTCAACCTAGGAATGAACCCCGAAATTGAAACATTATTTTGTACAGTCACCAATAATGCGATATTAAACTTATTTAATACATAAATAATTACTCACAGATGTAAAAACAATTTATAGGTTCCGGTGTGCTTCAAAATTAATCGATCAATAGGGTAGTTTCCATGGTATCAAAATTAAAAATCTAATTAGTCCGTCAGTTAGATAATGAAAAAATATTAGACACGTATTGTTTTATTTTCTCGTATTTAGTTGCTATACATAAAATGGCGCTAAGTTTAGGAGTGGGAGGTAGTTACGTCATAACGTACTACAAAATATGACACGCTGTGACGTCACACGATATTTCAAATTAATATATCGTCGAAAGTACCCATTTAATTTCGTGAGAAAAGAAAAAATACGTGTTTAAATTTATAAATTAATGTACCAGACGAACTTAAAAAACCTTGAAAACTTACTAATTACTGCTTACTATTCTTTCCAGGCGTTCGATCCAGGTGAAGTGTTGTACTTATATGAGAGTCCAGCTGGATACGGTCTGATCGTGCTGAGGATCCTCGCATGGTGCATGTTCGCGTACTCCACCTTCTTCACTGTCAGGAAGTACCCTGAAAAGGTGAGTGGAAGTTTGTTGTTTTAGGGGATCAGCAGAGAAATTCACCGCAGACTTGGGACATCCTTACTATTATAAATGGGAAAGTGAGTTTGTTTGTTCCGCTTCCACGCCGTAACTTCTAAACCGATCGCTTTGAACTTTTGCAGACGTAAAGTAAAAATAATTAAATAATAGGGTACCTACTTTTTATCCCGCAAAAAATTGAGAATCACGAGGGAAATCAAAAATATTGGTATAGATGGCGCTGTATGTCATTTAAAACAAGTCAACGAATTACCTACTAATTGGAAATCTCACACTTTAATCTATAGCGTAGCGCTATAGATTATAGACTATACTTATTCGGTGCAATTTTCGACTCATTTATTTGCTGTTTTATAAGTCAACGAATTACTCATTGGTATCTATAGTAGTAGCAGTAGACTGCCTCTTTGGCCGAGTGGTCGCAAGTGCGACTGCCGGGCAAGGGGTCTCGGGTTCGATTCCCGGGTCGGGCAAAGAATTACTGGGTTTTTAAATATTCTCAGTAGTAGCACGGAGTCTGGAATTGTGTCCGGTATATGGCAATAGGCTCACCCCCTATTACATGGGACGTATAACATAAATAGTGAAAAGTGGGTGTTACATTGTACAGTGGTATAATGTGCACCTTTGCCTACCCTTTCGGGGATAAAAGGCGTGATGTTATGTTATATAGTTACGCTACTTAGCGATTGGCGCTGGGTGTTTGTAAAAACGTGACGTGTTTTTAAGTATTTATTGTATGACTGCCTCGTTGTGTGGCAAGAGGTCTCGGGTTCGATTCCCGGGTCGGGCAAAGTATTACTGGTTTTTTTTTAATGTCAGCGGTGGCACAGAGTCCGGTATATGGCAATAGGCTCACTCCCTATAACATGGGACTCATAACATAAATAGTGAAAAATGGGTGTTACATTGAACAATGATATTAAGTGCCGTAATGTGCACCTCTGTCTACCCCATGTTATGTTGTTTATTATGTTTACAGAACATGTTCTACTGTCCGTTCTTCATCTGTGGCACTCTGTGGTTCTACGCGGGACCTCTGTTCATACTCACTGCTAATACTTACATAGGTATGTGTTACAATCTATTTTAAGGCATATTTTTCTTCTTTTTTATGGGATAAGCCTATAAACGAGCAGACTGATCACGTGATGGTAAGCAATCGGCATGGCCCATGGACAACTGGAACACCAGAGGCGTTACAAGTGCGTTACCAGCGTTACCGGTTTGGGGATTAGGAGTCAAACTCCTTGTGGGGATTCAGGTATTGGAGAGATTGGGGAAGGGGGTAGAGGGTAATTGGGCCTCCGGTAACCTCACTCGCACGATGAAACACGATGCAAGCGTTGTTTCGCGTCAGTTTTGTGTGAGGTCTTGGTATCACTCCGGTCGAGCCGGCCCATTCGTGCCGAAGCATGGCTCTCCCACATTTAATATCTTCTGATTCACTTCATTGCGGGAACCAAGACAGTTATTCATGTCCCTGGGACGCGCCGGTCTTCAGTGTTCCGATGTTCATAATTGTAGATCCTAGCTTCAGGAGTTGCGGTTTCGAGAGATCATGGCGGACTTGTCCTAATAAATAGGAGACATGTTTTACAATTTTTATTTAGTTTTAGGGGGAAGTCTCTTAACGCCGGACGGCACCTAACGCCGGACACTTATATTATTTCGATAACTAACAACGCGAGCGATTCAATTTTTAGTGGGAAGTCTCCCAGTGGCAGATAACTAAGATTTATAGTAGAAATTGAATCGCTTCTGTTATCAGTTGTCGAGATAATCCAACTGTCCGGCGTTAGGTGCCGTCCGGCGTTACGGTACTTCCCTCTAATATTTAGAGAGCGTACTAAGCGCCGTACGAGTAACTTACACTCCTTAGCAATTGTTTTTATATTAAAACCGTTGTTAAAGAATAGTTGAAGTTATTATGATATTGCTGTCTTAGGCTGCGTCTATATCTGGCGAATGCGCAGCTCGCAAGCAATCTGCGAACTGCGCGAGTGCATTTAAAAAAATATTTTTATATGAACCTTGTATGAGTTGAGCACCAAACCATTGCCGTGACTGCACATTCGACAGATATAGACGCATCCTGAGAATGCCATCAGACCACAACGGATGGAGCTCAATAGGGCTGATGACGATACGGAGCCGCGAAGGACTTAACGGGTCCGGCTTGAAGTGTAGGAGAAGGAACGGGGTGGTTTTTAGTCAGTAAGAGTCTGACACTCTCTTCCGTCTCACCCAGGCGGGAGCAGTCATTCGATGATTTTCCCCCCTTTACCCTGAGAATGCCAATAATTCCTTGACTTGTTTCAGATAAATGGGTGCGCGAGAGTGTGGTGACTGCAGTCCTATTGTTCATAACATTCTGTGGACACATTATGTTTCTAGTGAGTTAATAACACTAATATTAATATGTGAAAGTTTCGATGTTTCTCCATGATTGATGCTGATATAGTGGTCGTGGTGGCCCGGAGGTTTAAGACGCGCTTCTCATGCATGAGGGTGCGGGTTCGAAACCTACCAACGGCAAGTACCAATGTGACTTTTTCCGAGTTATATGTACTTTCTAAGGTTATTTAGACACCACTGACAAACGGTGAAGGAAAACATCGTGAGGAAACCTGGGCTTATAACTTCTAATTATAAGTTTGTAATCACCAACCCGCATTGAGCAAGCGTGGTGATTAATGCTCAAACCTTCTCCGTGTGAGAAGAGGCCTTTGCTCAGCAGTGGGCATTTATAGGCTGTTGATGATGATGATGCTGATATTAGGTACCTACTGAATAGATTTCGAGGAAATTTGGTATACAGGCAGTGACTTAGGTGATAGGAAACATTTCATATCAATTACATGTTCCCATGGGATGAAACAGAAATCATGTTCTACGCGGACGAAGTCGCGGACAACAGATAGTTGTTCATAACATTCAGTGGACACATCGATCAGCAATTTATAACAACGCTAACTGCACGGTTGGTGTGGTGGCTGGGCAACCGGCTGCCGTGCAACGTGTCGCGGGTTCGATTCCCGCACGGAACAACACTTTGTGTGATCCACAAATTGTTGTTCCGGGTCTGGGTGTCATTGTGTATGTGAACTTGTATGTTTGTAAACGTACACACGACACAGAAGGAAATCCTAATGTGGGGCAACGTTTTTTTAAAGAAAAAAAAGACTCGAATTTTAGGTATCATAGTTTTTAATGCCAAGTTACTTGAAACACTGCTTTTTTACATGATACTAGCGACCCGCCCCGGGTGCAATATGCATGTATTATACATTATAAACCCTCCTTAAGAATCACTCTATCTATTAAAAAAACTGCAGCAAAATACGTTGCGTAGTTTTAAAGATCTAAGCATACATAGGGACAGACAGACGGCGGATAGCGACTTTGTTTTATACTATGTAGTGATGACATAAAAATCGTGAAGAAATACACGAAAATATCGAAGTTACAAATATATGTATATCATATAAAAAAACTGCCTCGTTGGCCGAGTGGTCGCAAGTGCCACTGCCGGTCTCGGGTTCGATTCCCGATTCGGGCAAAGTACTACTGGGTTTTTTTTAATGTCAGTAGTGGTACGGAGTCTGGAATTGTGCCCGGTATATGGCAATAGGCTCACTCCCTATTACATGGGACTCATAACATAAATAGTGAAAAGTGGGTGTTACATTGTACAGTGGCATTAAGTGTCGTAATGTGCACGTATGTTATGTTATAAAAACTGTGTTATAAGCAATTTGACATAAAATCGATGTTGCCTACCTAAAATTCGAGTTATAGTGTAGTATAAATCACTGGTTACATTATTTTTTGGTGAGTGATTGATTCTTTGAATAAATATAAATTAGGTTTGTAGGAGCCATGTCAATAACTGTACCTAAATCTTTTTTAAAAAACAACAGACGAGGTCTTTCGTCCAGCTGTGAACTGGGCTTGACTGCCTCGTTGGCCGAGTGGGTTCGATTCCCCCGGGTTTTTTTAATGTCAGTGGTGGCAAGGAGTCTGGAATTGTGCCCGGTATATAGCAATATGCTCACCCCCTATTGCATGGGACATAAATAGTGAAAAGTGCGTGTTACATTGTACAGTGGCATTAAGTGTCGTAATGTGCACCTGTGTGTAGGTGTAGACCTACGGGGATAAACAGCATGATGTTATGTTATGTTATTAACTGAGTCTTATTGGGCTGCTGATGATAATGAATTATTTAATTAAATTCCATTTTTATTGCAGTTGCTAACATTACCAGTGTTTGCGAATAAGAATTTCCCTTATCACGTGAGGACCACACAAATTGGGGTTATGGAGGTAACTGAAAAATTAAGTATAAGTAGGTTTTTTTTTCTCTCTTTCTGCGCTATGGCAATCTACAACAATAAGCCACTTATTTGGTTGGAACTACATGTCCTGGTTATATATAATGGTTTTCCTCGAGGGCCAATTAGTTGCTGAAAGCAGTAATAATGTAAGTAGGTAATAATGTAAATTTCTTTTCGGGTAAACGCCAGAGAAAATGACTTAAGGCTCGTACACAAAGCTGCGATGCGACGTCGCATCGCAAAAATGTGCGAGCTCCCTCTACGCATCGCAAGAACTTGTGAATTGATTCGCATCGCGCATCAAAATCTTATCTTCCCAAAATCTTCTTTGTTTCTTTTTCCTGTATCTCCCAAGCAATAATAGAAGTGCACACTTCTTTTTACGACCCATGTCACGACCTAGTTTTTAATTTAAAATACGTTTAGTACGGTTGACGGTCGTCGAAGGAATGGTTAACCTGGGAGACGCCTTGTGGCACGAAATCGCATCGCTGCAATTCGCATCGTAACTTTCTGCGTTGAAAATTCGCAGATTTGTGTACGAGTCACTTAAGGGGCCAGTAGAATACCAGCGCAAGGTCCTGTCTTGCACGTGCTGAACTGGTCCCATTTCACCGTAGACTTGGGACTGCTAATAGATTGATATATCTACATGTCACTTGTTTTTGGCGTGAAATAAAGTTTTTTCTTTTCTTTCTTATTTCTAACTAACCTAACTAAAGACTGCACGGTTGGCGCGGTGGTTGGGCAACTGGCTGCCGCGCAACGTGTCGCGGGTTTGATTCCCGCATGGAACAACTCTTTGTGTGATCCACAGATTGTTGTTCCGGGTCTGGGTGTCATGTGTATGTGATATTGTATGTTTGTAAACGCACCCACGACACAGGAGAAAATCCTAGTGTGGGGTGACGTTTTATTTAAAAAAAAAATAATAAAAAAAAACTATTAACTTATCAAAAAAGTATATATCCGACCATATTACGCCTTGAGGCATGCTTAATACAAAATGGCGGCATCATAATATTATTCGAAGAAATAATTATACTACCTACTATTCAAAATTCAAACTATATACGTATTCGTCTCTTGAGAAAATTAATTTTAATCTCATTTCTTCTTTTGTAGGTCACTGGTAATTCAGCTCTGGATGGCTTCGGTCCTAACGCCTACCATCCTAGCAATGCGCCACCGCAAACTGTCATTATACCATTGACTAGGTAAGACATATTTAATCAAGTGATCCTCTAGAGTACCTAATGAAAATATAATAGTCAAGTAATGTAAAGTACGTGAAGTAATGTAAAGGGTACGATGGGGCTGACATAGCTGTGATAAAAGCCTGTAATAAGGTTTCAGATAAAAAAACTACTCAACGCTGATGTTGTACTATATGAGAGAATCCGATTAAAATTGTAAAAACAGTATCTATTTGTCAGCGTTTCGGGAGCATTATGTTTACATACTGCATGTAAAATGGTATTTTAGTACGTAGGTACTGTTAAGAATAAAGGTTCAAATTTCATGTCAGACAAAACAACAATAATCAAGGTGATTAAGAACTGAAAGTGGGAAACAATGCCTTAGAATTCCTAATTCCAAACCTATTAGGTATTTTTTTATGCAATAAGCCGGTAAACAAGCAAATGGCGTCTTCCATGGATACTTGGAACACCTGTGCCAAGTGCGTTAATGGCCGTTTGGAGTTTAGGAATTTGATGATTGTTGGGGATTCAGGGATTGGGGAGATTGGGAAGGGTGGTAATTACTGGGCCTCCGGTAACCTCACTTATACGACGAAACACAACCGCAAGCATTGTTTCATGTCGGTTTTCTGTTCGGCTGTGGTAACACTCCGGTCGAGCCAGCCCGTTCGTGCCGAAACATGGCTTCCCCATACTTAAATTAAGGTATTACAAATAAGTACCAAATTATTTAATTATTTCTCTAACCTAGATAATCCTATCATTACAGACGCACAGAAGAGTTAATAGGCAACATGTACAACCAGTACATGGCTACCGCGCCCCCCCTCTCCTTAGAAGACCAGCCCCCAAAACTAAAGAATATACCAAGGAGAATAGACTCTATATCTCCAAAACATCATCTGATATCACAAGACAGCACGGAAACGAACTCATCAGCTGATATAAGACCAATCATACAAAAAGACGAACCAAACAAAGAAATATTTACCGTTGAAAATCAAATTTCGAAAATGGAACCCGCTGTGTTGCCAGTTTCTAAGCCTGTGGTGGTGTTGCCAGAGAGAAATTTGGAAGATAATAATTTTAATAGGGGAGATTTGCCTAATGTTATGCGGTCAAGGAGGAATATTTTGGAGCCTATTAAAAGAGAGGATAATGTGCCCTCCTGGTCCCTTGCTAAGGGACCTTGTATTGTTGGCATGCTGAAGAAGACTAAGAATGTTGATGAGGGTATGTGAATATTAGCTGTTCTTGTATTTTATATTTTTTTATATAATCCGCCACGTTGTGTGGTGGAAAGCGTTGCTGCCGAGGAAATGATATAGGGCTTGATTCCCGGATTGCAAAGAATTGGAATAATGACTGGGTATAAAAATTAAAAATCTAATTAGTCCGTAAGTTAGACACGTATTTTTTTTTATTTTGTCGTATAATAAAACAATACTTGGATAAAACTAATCAAAGTTTAGGAGTGGGGGCTAAAACGTCATTACTACGTATAAAATTTACATAGAAGTGACGTCACGCGACATTTCAAATCAATATATCGTCGAAAGTATTCGTTTCTGTAAGAAAATAAAAATACGTCTAATGATTTAAAATAATCTACCAGACGGACTAAATCTACACTCCCTAATCTTTCTCCCAAAACTCAAAAAAAGGCTCTCCTCCTATTACTACACCCACACATACCACCTAGTTAACTGATGAAAACTGAGTGTTATTGCTCTACACCGAGTATAATTTTAGGCTCAGTGATATTTTTGCCATATTCCAAAATAATACATTATCAATAAATATATCAAATTTCTTCCAGACTCACCAGACCTCAACAACATCTTAATCAACGGAAAGAAAGTTCCTCCAGTGCGGAACGGTCTCCAGTCCAGCTCTGGAGAGATATCCACTATCATGGAAGGCAGAGTTCAGAGCTACCCAAGTGCTGTCAGCAAAGCCACGATAGATCTGTTCAGTGTTGGTAGCCATAAAGGCTGAATGACTTTTTGCAAGATGTAGAGAGAAAATCGTTAAGTCTAAAATTACTGTTTTTGTGTTAACAATAAATCGCGGGTTATTCACGTGAATATACTGAGAAAAGTTGTATTAGTTTCGAGCCACAGAGGGGCTCTTCCTCATAAGCAGCGTACGTGGTCACGGCGATGTCACGCAGTGGCTCGAAACTAGTAGAGCTTTTCTCAGTACATTCAGGTGAGTAACCCGCGATTTTTATTTAATTTGGTATGTTTTTATGTTATTGAGAGTAAACTGTAATGGGTAAGATTACTGTTGTAACACCATTGAAAACAAACAAGTTGGATTGAAACAAAACAAGTAAGACCATTGGTTCGATCCGCAGTAACTGAAGGCTAACACAGAATATAAAGACAAGACATTCTTAGAGATAGTTCATCATTGATATAGTGACTTAAGCAACTTCTTGCCTTATTATACAGAATTTGTAATTGAACTAGCAAAAATTGTTCGTCTTTTCCTTTTGCAGAATGTTTTGTTATTTCAAAACTTAATTTATCAAAACAGTAATTAACTTAGTGAATTTTCGATCTACGAATGTAATATCAACTTTGTACTGAATTAGAAAATGGCGCCCAAATGGGACTGATAAGAAAAATTGGGCAATATCTGGGCAGTCTAAGATTAATTAGCAAATAAAAATGTAAGATGTATAATATTATAACAAAAATTTTCTAAAAGGTTTTCTTAGCTAGTTTCGATTTTCGTTCTACATTTGAAGCGTAGAATGTTTAAAATAACTTCAGATTCAAAAATAAAAGGAAATTTACAAAACTAAGTTATTGACGCCCAAACGGGACTGAACTTTTTTTTAAATCAAAAATGTACTCAATTAAAGTAATTTCTTTACACAGTAATTTTTTAGTTTTGTCAAGCATGAAATCTTATTTAAATCAATGATAATAGGTAGTTTTACTTTTTAGTCCCATTTGGGTGCCATTTGAATTACTGACGCCCAATAGGGACTCACTTTTTTCCAAACGTACCTCCCATTTAAAACAATCTGATTCAGAATAATATAGGTACTAATGCAGCAGAGTAATTTGAAGTATTTACTTGTATGCAATAATATAAGGACAAACCAGAGGGCTTTTGAATCCAATTTCGATCAATTGAAATTGGTCTTGTGAAATTTCATACTCCTGAGTTGAAACAAACACCCTTTGCATCTGTATTGCGTGGATATTAAATGAACTAAATCGTATTGAGTTTGGCTTTATATTCCGTAATCTGAATGCTATTTTAACAGCTACGATAGGGGTTATATAGTTTTGACATTGAATAATTATTAAGATTTCATTGCATTGATATTGAGATTGGTTTCAAGAGTAAGCCAGACCAGGGTGGTCTATTGTAGTTTGGTATCTAATAACACAACTGATGCAAAACGGGATCATTGTACCTTTTTTTTATAAATCTTTTTTTATGAATCTTTCAAAAGTCGCTTGGGGGGATAAAACGGGTGTGGGACTCCTACCTCACTTAAACCATTCCGGTGGCCACCATCATCACCTAAGGGGCACTATAAAAGATCTGCTCCAGAACTCCCACAATGAAACATAGAATTATTGTATCTACGTATAAGTTTCTAACCTAACTTTTTGTGAATTAAAATGAAGCATCACATAGGTTGTTCTGGTATAGTGTAATAGGTATAGATATATAGGCTATTTTGTACTGCCTGACTATCCGTTCATTTTACAAAGTTACCAGTCAAGTGTAAAAAAAAAATCCATAAAGAAAATAATGTGACAGCCACTATTTACTAGTTATTGGTTATCTTATAAGTCCCTTGTAAAATATACTTATATTAAACTATACGTACACTGAATACTTAAATATTTGTAAATACTATAACATAATATTTAATAAATTGTGGTGGAAAAGTAGGTTTAAATGGATTTCTATGCGTGTATGTGTGTGATTTAGTGATTTTTCTAGTCATAGAGTTTTAAAAATATATCATTGAGAAAATGCTTGTTGTTTTATTACATAATATAGAGGTAACATCACGCTTATTATCTCCGAAGGGGTAGGCACACAGAAGTAACACCCACTTTTCACTATTTATATTATGGGTCCCATGTAATAGGGGGTGAGCCTATTGTCATATACCGGGCGCAGTTCAAGACTCCGTGCTACAACTGAGATTTTTCGTAAAACCCAGTAATACTTTGCCCGACCCGGGAATGAAGTGAAGAAAATAAAAAGAATGAAGACCCCTTGCCCGGCAGTCGCACTTGCGACCACTCGGCCAACGAGGCAGTCGTCGTTGTTTTATTAATATATATATATAATATATGCGAGTTGGATATAGCAGATTTCTGAAAATCAGGTTATCAGAGAGCACATACATCATAAGCAGAAATAGCTATACAATATTAGATAATATTGTTGATGTAACGTAATAAAAAATAAGTAGAGGTAAAAAACAAAAGGATTTTTTATTGAAACATCGTCAGAAGTCCTAACTGAAGTTTTAACTGTACCTGCAAACGAACATAACATAACATCACGCTGTTAATTCCTAAAGGGGTAGGCAGAGGTGTACATTACGGCACTTCATGCCACTGTGCAATGTAACACCCACGTTTCACTATTTATGTTGTGAGTCCAATAGGAGAGTGAGCCTATCCTATACCTACGTCGCGGAGAACTTAACGGGTAACCGGGGCTCCGGCTCGACGTGCAGGAGAAGGAGCGGGGTGGTTTTTAGTCAGTAAGAGTCTGACACTGACACTCCCTCCCGCCTCACCCAGGCGGGAGAAGTCATTCGATGATTTTCCCCCTTAAAAAAATCCTATACCTACAGTTAAATCGTAGGTCCATGCAGCTTACATACGTTCAGTCAAAACTGTAGTTCAACTGTACTTACGCTCTACACACCTTATGTTTCAACTGTATAGCTCGATAGTTTAGCAATTTATATTATCCAGGGTGTGTAGCTTGCGGTACACAATACATCATCATTAAAAGCCGACGTTCACGGCTGGACAAAGGCTCCCTCTTAGTCCACGTCGAACGACAACTCGCCACCGTCATTCACTGGCTCCTCGCAACTCAAGTTGAACAAAACAAGAAAGAAATTAGATAAAAACAAATGACATAATATCAAAAAGAATTGAGAAAGTTCTGTCAATTCCATAAATGAATTCTTAAACATTCATTTGTCTATTTTTATATTTCAAAAAGACAAAAAGGAGATCAAATCAGCTACGACCGTGGGGTTGAGACCGAAGTCTCTCTTTATCATTTTCTTGACATCATAGTGACATTAAATTATGTATTTCCCATATAATGATTGCTTCATTACTTCAGCAAATCTGATGGCTGGGACTTAGGTCGGCTCCCAGCCAAACCGATTACCGGCGTAGCTACGGATCTCCGACATATGGATTAGGAAAATCGTACTAAGGAAAACTGGTATGAAAACTTTGCTTGCGCGATTCAGAAACGTTAACTTTAGGATTTATTTACGTAGATAAGATCCACTTAAATGATAAACGAATTATATAATCAGAAAGTACATTTCACGCTCTTTCTCGTCATATTATTTGTTTAACTAATAACATTTACACCACATTTTTATCAACGATTTCATATTTCCAATATTGCTATCACATTATTTTCCGTACATATGATAGAGACGCTGAATTCAGGTTGGACACAAGCTTCAAAACATCCAATCGAATATTACCCCCAACCCTTAAAATCTACTCGAGACGCCCATTATAGATTTTCGGAGGGAGACTCAAAGATATGCAATAGGGAAGGTGGGAAAGGGACAGTTTATATTCTGTACTACAAAATACACCTTTGAAGAGCTGATAGCGGCATCTATGCGAGTTTTCATATCCAATTTCAACCACAATACAACCCACAAGCCTGCGTACTTTGTGCTCAAACTGTGTATGAATTTGTCAGCCACTTTAGGTAGATGTCGTCTCAAGCAAATGTTGTGAACATTTACTTGTAAACAGCAGCTCATGTAGTGTAGATGTCCAGTCAACAAGGATGTAAGTGTGGGAGAGCCATGCTTTGGCACGAATGGGCCGCCTCGACCGGAGTGATACCACGACCGAACAGAAAACCGACGTGAAGCAACGCTTGCGTTGTGTTTCGTCGTGTGAGTGAGGTTACCGGAGGCCCAAATACCCTCCCCTTCCCCAATATCCCCAATTCCTGAATTCCCAACGATCCTCAAACTCCTAATTTCCCAAAAGGCTGGTAACGCACTTGTAACGCCTCTGGTGTTCCAGGTGTCCATCGGCGACGCCGATTGCTTACCATAAGGTGATCCATCGGCTCGTTTACCGGCTTATGCCATAAACAAAAAATGTAGCGAGGTTGACTGTCCAGGCGACACATGAACGTACTAGCAGCTCATCTGCTCAATTAGGTAGTTTAGATGTCACTTGGGCACAAAGTTTAACATAATAATATCTAGACAAATACCTGGACTTTTCCCCGACGTGGAGCAGAGGGAATCCAAAAAGGTTCTCCATCTCGTTCTATATGAACTTCAGGCTTCACCTCGCTCCACGTCATACCGATGCATCATACCCGTACAACCATTACAGGGCGACGGCAGGTTGGCCGGGGGCGGCCACGCATTCTTTTCCTATGGAGATGCCGGTCAAAGAATGTACTGACAATGTAACAATGTAATGTAAATATCACTTACATTTCATTATTTATCATTTCATTGATTATTGCGGTCAGACGACTTTTCTCGAAGTTAATCTTTGATTATTTACGTGATTTTCTAATTATTCGTTTTCAAAATTAATTCTCTATTAAATAAAACAAATATGAAAAAGTAAATTTTAAACTGACAGGCGTTAATTACTAATAGGTATGCATTTTTATTTACAGTTCAACATTAATTCCGACTTCGATTAGACATGCTACATACACGCATAATACGCACGGATAATGCCCGCGCTCATACTCTCAGCGACATTAAAATTGGGTCTGGGGAATGTTTGGCCCCTTGGATCGGTCTGTCCGTTTGCAAAACGTTTTAGAATAGTTGTCTGAATAACATATATAAAAATCAAGCATCAGAAAATAAGTGACCTAAATTAATATTTTTCAGAGCTTTGAAGCGTCTGTAAGGTAAAACCGCCGACCGCATGTGTCTGGGAGTAATGAATACTGATTTTTAACGATATAGTGTAAAAATTATATGTTAAAATCAGCTATCAGAATTTAACTGAGGTGAGCAGTGTTTTTATGTACCTTGATTAATTGCTAAATGAAAATTGGCCGTCTGGCCAAGGTAGCAACTAGTCATATGATCATAGTACACCCCACCACACGAGTGAGTACTCGTATATATTTTGTCCATCAGAAAATGAGTGATGTCTGGGGCACTGGGATCTTCCTCTATAAGGTTAACCCATAAAAAACTAAATTAATATAATCCATTATTTTACAATATTTCATAAATGGAACGTCTAAACTCCATATCGAATATTCCATACCCAATTCACATACAGTATTTGATACCGATACGATATTTATAACAGGCCAGCGACTGAGAGTCCACATTGAATAAAATATTAGGATTAGGTATTTTTAAATACTAGGATTAGGTGGATTAGGTATCGGTTTCACCTAATCCGACCCATGTCTAGCCCCCTGAAGATCGGTCCTGGGCCCAGGCATCGAAGGACCGATGGTACTGAATAAACAGTGAGATATATTTGATAGCACTGTTAATCAAGTTTTCCCGTAAAGCTCAAGGATCAATAAGTAAATATTAAGATTAAAGGATGACATTAAAACCAGGATTTGAAATAAAAAAAAAACATTTATTCCGTAATATTAAATGTAGCAATATTTTCATTCTACACACATCCTACTATCACGCTATTACATGGTTTTGTGGGGTAGACAGAGATGAAGCTACGGTACAATCGACAAAGTTTGCGGCGACCATCATTAGGCGATATTCGCTTGCACTCGAGCGACCGCAGGGAAAACGCCCTATGAATAGCGATTACCCAGGCTTTGTTAAAAAACTGTTCTACCGTAAACTTTGTCGATAGTACATACATTATAATTATTGATAATACATTATGCATTAGACATAAGACCTACTATTTCGCAAGGGGTAGACAGACTAGCACGTTTTAATATAATAAATGCGTAAGTATGTTTGATTTTATTTCACGTCGCATTAAAGCGATTTTCTTATGACCCTGCTCGTAACAGTTTAGGGATTGAGGATGGTGGGGTTTGGGGATTAGATGGTTGGAGATTAGACGTTTGGAGATTAGAGGTCTGGGTATTAGGGATTTGGAGAATGTAGATAAGGGGGACCCCTTGGATGTAGATAAGGGGGAATGTAGATAAGGAAGTAGGGTAACCTCCAGTAACCTCACCCACACGGCGAAACTCAACGCTGTAGTTGTTTTAGGCTGGTTTTCTGTAAGGACGCGGTATCCCTCCGGTCGAGCCACCTTATTCGTGCTGAGGCATAGCTCTCCCACACTTCATGATGCGTCATGATATTTGACACTAATACCTAAGTCTGCCTACCCCTTTTATTTAATACAGAGAGAATCATAGTTGAATTAAGTAATACAAAATCTACCATTTTTGATACCACAGTCTAACATTCTTTCATTCAGTCCTGAAAAAATATACAGCTCACTCATGTAGCTTTTTGAGGATGCCCGACTAGTTTCTAGCCTCGACCGGGATTCATAATTATGAGCAAACGAAACCGGTCGAGCACATGAATAAGCCATGTATTTGATTAATATTTTAATGAAGTTTCTGACTAAAAATAAAATCATATTTTCGCGTTGTTAATCTCAAAAGTCATTACAAAATTACTATTTTATTTAGCCAATTAGTCTTTGATTTCTTAAATCCATAGTCTTTCTTTCTCTACGCCTCTTCTTCGTATCATCACGCCTTCATAGACTGTGGTATGTACAGAAATCTTGTTGTCAGTGGTAATAATTCTAAGAGTAGCTCGCGGTCTGATCAGAACCAGAGCTGAGCGTATAGTGAGTCGCATTCCGCGCCTCAAAGAACCATCAGACCACTACAGATGGGGCCCAATTAGGCTGATTTGACAGACCCAAAGTGGACTTAACGGGTTGCGGGGCTCTGGCTTCGAGAGCACGAGTAGGAACGGGGTAGTTCTTAGCCAGTAAGAGTTTGACACTCCCTCACCCAAGTCAGTAGAAGTAATTGGATGATTCCCCCTCTCTTCTTAAAAAATCTCTGGACCTTCTATTACCACTGACATCCAAGCATCCATACAATCATACATTCATCTATTACAATTATTATGTAATTAGTAAACGAGCGCCTAACGCCTACTCCCATTTTTTGAATTCAACGCCATCTGGTGGCTTCATTTCGACTTTATCTCGTCCGACTTGGTTCCAGTTTGTGCTGAGTACTGTGCCTCCGGATTCCACCTGGAAATAAATAAAATTGTATTCATAGCATAGTTTAATTTTATACTGCCTCATTGGCAGAGTGGTCGCGATTGCGACTGCCGGGCAAAGGGTCTCGGGTAGGGCAAAGTATTACTGGGCTTTTTCAAAAAAGCTCAGTAGTAGCATGGAGTCTGGAATTGTGCTCGGTATATGGCAATAGGCTCTCTCTCACCCCCTATTACATGGGACTCATAACATAAACAGTGAAAAGTGAGTGTTACATTGTACAGTGGTAGTGCCGTAATGTACACCTCTGCCTACCTCCATGGGGATAAAAAAGCGAGATGTTAATTTTAATACAAGATTTTCAGGGTGGGGGAAGTGGTACATAATACAACCAAATAATGGTACATAAGGCGACTTTAATGCCATATTGCGTAAATATTATAAAGCCTTATAATTTTATTTTAAATAGGGTACATTCCTACATTTTATTTTAATGTCCGGCTGGTAGATTAATTTAAAACATTAGACACGTATTTTTTCTTTACTCACAACATTAAATACTTTCGACGATATATTTGACATATCGTGTGACGTCACAGCGTGCTACATTTTATAGCACTTTGTGACGTAACGACCACTCTTAAACTTAGCGCAATTTTATCTAAGTATTGTAACTTTATACGAGAAAATAAAAAATACGTGTCTAATATGTTTTATTATCTAATCGACGGACTGAATAGAATTTTATTTTTCGTACTCTGGAAACTACCGTATGCTCAGTAACATAAAAGTAATCACAATAACAATTACATTAATTGTTCTACTAGTTTCGTAAAATTTCCTTTCGCAAATGTTTGCGTGATTACTGTACCTGTCAGAAATTGGACGGCTTGGCAATTAGCATTAGCTCCATCTAGTGAAGAAAAACTGTAACCATTCAATGCAACGACGAAAAGGGGGAAGGGGTGTCATTAGATTTGATAATTACGTTTGAAATACTTACGAAACTTTTGTTCATAGCGCGCCGCACCTCATCGGATCCCTCTCCGTATATCTTCTGGAAGAGGGCGTTCAACGCCGCGTCGCCTTCTGGCTTCTCTTCTTCTTCCTACAAGAAGAACCAAATTCGATTTATTTCTTAAGGGGTCTTGAGTGTAATTCCCGGGTCGGAGAAAGTATTATTGTGTTTGGGACACCTCTTGTTGCGGTAGTGTTTAACGATGGAGTTTTAGGTAATTTTTTTCGATACAAATATACATTTTAAAACGAATACTAAACTGGTGGACAATAATTGGCTAGTATCCTAGGTTTAAAATAAATTGTTTCAACTCTTCAATGCAACAAATAATTAAAAAATAATCATACTCTCATCCATTGATTTGTCAATTTACCTACTTTTGAATTTGTTCTCGCTAATTTTATGGAAATAAGTATGCTGTTTGACGCAGAAATATGATGACGTCATAAGTTGCGATCCAATACAAAATTCATAGAAAAGTATAGTTTTTGACATTTCAATAAAATTATTGAATTTGACCACCTGTCAACTACCGTATTGTATTTTGAAGTTTAAAAAGATTAAGACCTTGTTTATGATAGAAATGTAGAATCGACCTGGAATCGATTCCAGATTCCCGTAGCTCGGTAGTCGCTCTGTCGACTACTCGAAGAACGGAGCGGAGGCAGTTTAAATTTTTCGAGAAACTTTACCTTCTTTTTGGGAAACAGGTCTCGTTATTATGAAATAATTACATAACTCACCATTTTCTTTATATCCTTTTCAATTTTGTCCCAGTCCTTTTTGAATAGCTTCGGCGGTTGTTGTACCGGCCCTGAAGCGTCTATTACAGCTTAAACAATAAGAAAACATTAACAGATGGTTCAGTAAAGAAGAGTGAGAGAAAGAGAGTAGTGTATTAGGGTGCATCCACATCTGGCGAATGTGCAGCTCGCGAGACGCCCGCGAACTGCACGCGTGCATTTAAAATTATTATTTATACGTACATTGTACGATTTGAGACTGTACGGAGATCGTCCCGCGATCCCCGACGCCCGGTGTGTCTCGCGACGGCTGGGGCGTGAGGTTTATTCCCTCACGCGCCCCGCATTCTCCTATGTGGACCCTTAGGTTTTGGTTAGCATTAGGTATTAAGTATTTCGATTTCGAAAATCACAGTAGTATGGCGTTATTTGACTACTTTCACAATGCTAGCTAGCTCTAAAATGAGTAAATAATGAAGTTTTATTACAATAATATTATAATAGGTACCTTCAGTCAGCTACAAAATCATACATTCTTTTATTAGATTTGAAATTATAACTAATTATCGTGAAATTATCGTTAACGGCTACGCCTACGGCTTATGTTACTCAACTAGTTTCGAACTACTTTGGGGGCTCATAACAATGAGTAACTTCTGCAACGCTCATTGCATCGATTACCGAAATTAATCGAGTTGGAATACTTACGTGAATAAGCCATAAAACCTGATTAATTTTAATTAATATCCTACCTTGGGGAATAGCCTTAACATGATCATCAGCTCGGTCTCCATCCAGCTGTGTCCACCGCAACCCCTCCTTTTTCCGGAGTTTCACCTCTATTTTGGAAGGAGTCACCACGTGGGTACATAAGTTAGGTACAACTTCATGCGCTAAGTCTAATTCTAGACTGTATTCAGAGTCTGAATCTGGGATAGCACTTGATAATGAGAGCTGAAAGAAAGGAAAAAATATTGATTTTAATATATCTAGAAATGTTACTCTAGTCAACCAAGCTATCGATATCATTTTAACTGCACAGTTGGCTGGGTATCGCGAAACGTATAGTGAGTTCGATTCCCGCACGGAGCAACTCTTTGAGTGATCCACAAATCGTTGTTCCAGGTATTTTTTTTTTGTGTTTGGGACAAGCCCTGCAACTCCTGTAAGCCAGGATCTACAGTAGATACAACCATGAAAACACCGGAACACTGAAGTCCGGCGCGTCCCAGGGACATGAATAACTGTCTTGGTTCCCGCAACGAAGTGAATCAGAAGATATTATAAGAGGGGAAGAAAAAAACGATACACACCACTTATCTCGGTGAATGGGGATGATGACAGGGTATGAAAATTAAAAATATAATTAGTCCGTAACTTAGGTAATAAAAAAATATTAGACACGTATTTTTTTATTTTGTTGTATAATAAAACAATACTTAGATAAAACGAATCAAAGTTTAGGAGTGGGGGCTAAAACGTCATTTCTTAGTATAAAATGTACTGAGAAGTGACGTCACGCGACATTTCAAATCAATATATCTTCGAAACTATTCGTTTCCGTAAGAAAATAAAAAATACGTGTCTAATGTTTTTAAATAATCTACCAGACGGACATTAAAATAAAAATTAGTCGTCTACCCCATTACTGCAGGAGACAGAATGAATTAAGCCTAAGGGTACAAAAAAGACACTGTATAACTGGGTGAAGGCCAGTCGCCAAGCACCACGGAAAATTGTCTCAAAACTAAGTAGGTCCTATGTGTGAGCTGTGTTCCAGGTCATTTGTCCTAGTGTGGAGCAATATTTTAAAAAGATTTTCCTCTGTCGTGGCTACGTTTGCTGGCATACATATTCAAATACGCATCACAGGCAGAACCGGAAATGTAATTTGGGGAACAAACAAAGAATATTTGTATTATAACTTTCGTGAGACATACTAAATCAATTATAATGTTTTCGGCTTATTTACGTAATAATTTGACTCAGAACTCGTCTAGTTTCAAGCCATGCTAGAGGCTCATATTCATGAGCAGCATTTCGCGACCCCCGATCAGACTAAGCTTGTAAGTAAGCCGAAAATATAAAAACAAAGAATAGTTCTGTGTGGGATTCGAACAGGCGACACTTTTGACTGCACGGTTGGTGCGGTGGCTGGGCAACCGGCTGCCGTGCAACGTGTCGCGGGTTCGATTCCCGCACGGAACAACACTTTGTGTGATCCACAAATTGTTGTTTCGGGTCTGACTGTCATGTGTATGTGAACTTGTATGTTTGTAAACGCACCCACGACACAGGAGAAAATTTTTATGTGGGGCAACATTTTATTTAAAAAAAAAAATCTGATTCCGAGCTAGAGTCCTAACTGTGCAGTCTTTAACTAAATATTACAAGTTACTCACGTAAATATACTGAAAGCTCAACTAGTTTCGAGTCACAGGGGGACTCTTCGTCATGAATGGGTTGCGCGTCATTGCCGCGACCGCGCACCGTTTAGGAAGACTCCTTCTGTGGTTGTGTGTGTCAAAACTAGTTGAGTTTTTCTCAGTATATTCACGTAACACGTAATTTTTAATTAATTCAGCATGAGTAGTTATTAAATACGCATAAGACACACCTCTACTCTTCCTCCTCCTTATAAGAAAAATAACAGGAATATTTTACATGGGACCCCGAACATAACTGTTTATAATTCACCTTAAATATTGACACCTTTGCCAACCCCTTTAAGGATAGGGAAGGTCTACTTACGCTCCTCTCTCCATAGTCGACCTTGACTTTATCTTTTGGCGCATTCTTCACTAATATGGTGATGACCACCTGTGACTCTGTTTGGTACCAATCATGTTTTATTTTTGGCCGCGACGGCTGAGGACAAGGGAAAAGGTAGACTTATAATAAATAGTTCAGTGATTTTGTATGGAGATAGATTTGGTTGGTTTATTGGCGCCGGTCAATCAGAGGCCTTAGTACGAGTTTCTTTTACGTTTAAAGTAATCGTAACGAGTACGCGTTCGGTGCTCTGATTGGTTGATTCATTGGTGCCCGCCAATCAGAGTGCCGAACGCATACTCGTTTCGAATACTTTATACGTAAATCAAACTCGTACTAAGGCCTCAGAACCGAACGCGTACTCGTTTTGAATACCTTAAACGTAAAACAAACTCGTACTAAGGCCTCAGATGAGAACCTCTAACTATGTGGAGTAACATCAATACATAGTATAAAACAAAGTCGCTTTCGCTGTATGTCCGTATGTATGCTTAGATCTTTAAAACTACGCAACGGATTTTGATGCGGTTTTTTTTAATAGATGGAGTGATTCTTAAGGAAGGTTTGTATGTATATACATATTGCACCCGTGCGAAGCCGGGGCGGGTCGCTAGTTTAAATATAAAAGCGTACCGATATTACATTTTAAGAAAAAAAATTGTGAGAACCGTACAAGAGTAGCCATTTTACCTGTTTTAGAGAGTTGAGGACATAAAAAATAGGTAAAATAGAAAGGCGTGGATGTCCGCGAGTTTTTGACCCGCGTGTTGACGATTAACTCAAACATACAATAAAACAAATTCTTTATATAATAGTATAGTGTGGGAGAGCCATGCTTCGGCACGAATGGGCCGGCTCGACCGGAGTGATACCACGGCCTCATAGAAAACCGACGTGAAGCAACGCTTGCGTTGTGTTTCTTCGTGTGAGTGAGGTTACCGGAGGCCCAATTACCAATTACCTTCCCTTCCCAATCTCCCCAATTCCTGAATTCCAACTCCTTATCCCCAAAAGGCCGGTAACGCACTTGTGACGCCTCTGGTGTTCCAGGTGTCCATGGGCGACGCCGATTGCTTACCATCAGGTGATCCGTCTGTTCGTTTACCGGCTTATACCATAAAAAAAAATAGTATAAGAAGATTATTTTGAATTTAACAAATTAAGAATAGTTTATTTTTTGTTCACTTTAGTTGAAAAGAGACTGCGTGTGTGAGATTTTGAAATTATGTAAATGCATTACAATAAATTCAGACCGCACAAGTGTTCATTGTAAGATTTTTGTTAATAGCTATAATTATAGCTTTCTTTTATACTTTCTCTATTTTTTGTGTTAAATCTAGTATCTACTTAAATTAAAATGTAACCAAGAATTGTATTGTGAACCTGATTGAAATAGAGTATGGAGTATGGATGGAGTTTCTTGCTCGTTCTTCTCCATAGGAATCTACACTTTGGAACGAGCTAATAGCTTCACTAGAGGACTAACAGAGTGACATTTTTAATATTCATTTGTTTGACGATCAAAAGTGCTTTCGTGGTGTAATTGAAAAAATAAATGACCTAACTTTTTAAAGAGTGAATGATGATAAATGAAATTCTTTTTTTGAGTCTGGGAAAGACTCTTACTAATTGTAAACCCCGCCCCCGTTCCTACTCCTGCTTTCAGCCGCAGCCCCGTTAACTGCTGTTGTCCACAAATTAAAGAAAGCCTGTTGAACTTTTGGTTTTGTTAAATAACATGTAAATACAGGTTGTTTTGGAACATGTGGTTGAAACTTAGAGAACCTACTTATGGGATCTTCTTCTTTATGCGATTATGTATTATAAAAAATAAATGAAGTATTTAGAAAAAAAAACTTCATTTCCCACACTAAAAACAAGTGACATGTACAGATGTGTCATTCTATTGGTAGGTATTGATGGACACATGTTCATTTCCCAAGTCTGCGGTGAAATGGGACCAGTTAAGCATATGCAAGACAGGGACTTGCGGATGGACACGCCATCAATTATACATCAGCAATTTTAATTAATTTTAATGTATGTATGATGATGGATTGCTGACAGTTTACTGTCAAACACCAAGCGGTCACCGGTGACCGCAACCTATTGTTCTATAATTGTGTCTATAATGACGGTACTCTACGAGTTAATTAAACAAACATGTTATTGTAACAAGATAAATGAAGAGATTATAAAAGAACAACACAAGGGTAGATACATTTATTTTGTTTTTTATTATTAAATACGTTAACATTAAACACTAACACAACCATTATCAATAGAAAAACCAAGCGAGCCGGATAACTATTTTATTGGCATCGTGCCAGCACAACTAATACAAAGAAGCTGGTCATGTTTTAAACACAAAGAAAATTTAAGTGTAATTTTACGCAATTTAAACAAATTATAAGAAAATGTTAAAACCTCACTTTTACCATGGAAATGACTTTGTGAAAACTATTTTTATATGGTAATATCATGTATTTAGAGTGTTGTGGTGGCCCAGAGGTTTAAGACGCCCGCTTCTCATGCATGAGGGTGCGGGTTCGAAACCTACCAATGGCAAGTACCAACGTGACTTTTCTGAGTTATATGTACTTTCTAAGATTATTCAGGCACCACTGACAAAAGATGAAGGGACCATCGTGAGGAAACTTGGGCTTATTATTTCAAATTATAAATTTGATATTGACAATGCGTATAGAGCTAGCGTGGGTGATTAATACTCAAACCTTCTTTTGTGTGACAAGAAGAGGCTTTGCTCAGCAATGGCCATTATATGCTGTTGATGTGTGTGTGATTGATGTGATCATGTATTTATTTTATGTTTATTAACTCGTCGAGTACCGGTTTTGTAGACACAATTATAGAACAATAGGTTGCGGTCACCGGTGACCGCTTGGTGTTTGACAGTTTAAGGTTTATTTTATTAATATTATAAATGCGAAATTGTGTGTTGTATATATGTTCGTCACTCAATCATGTCCAAACGGCTGAAGGGATTGTGATGACTACTTTTTAGTTCTAGGGAATGCGACCGAAGCCGTTGGCAGAAAGTAGTAGGTTTATAAACCTTTAATTTTAATATATTTTTTACGACATCTTGTTTTGGTAGAAACATGTAAATAGGGAGGTAACACACCTACTCAGTGTTAAGGGGTTTATGAATTAAAAACAAAGTTGTAAGAGTATTCAATTAAGCTAAAAATAGACCTAAACCTTCGCGTCTAATCAAACAAAAGCCAGCTATCGATAAAGACGAAATTATTTATGATTTCGAAAAGAAAGTGAATTGGATTCCAATAAGAAAATGAAATGTAAATAGTACTTGAAATCATACCTCAACAGCCGTATTTTCTTTCGTTTCAGTCATATTTTCTTCCCTCAGCCTCCGAAAATGTAGATTTTCCAGAAATCTTCAAAAAATATTTATTTTTACACCGACACTATTCAGCAGATTTTTCTAGACTGGAGGTGCGTTCTGAATAAAAGACATTATTGAAAGTAGGCGTTAGATATACTGAATTGTAGCTACCATTTTAAAGAAAAAGTATTTAAAAATATTGAAATTTAATCGAAAATATTACATTTTTATTATATTACAATATTTAATGACCTGTTCCCTAAATTGGATAAGTTTTTACCCCAAGATCAAATCTTTTAAATCGATATCGGTAATCATACGCAGGTTTTCGAACGTTGTCTACTCCATTACACGTCTGTGTCAGAGTACGTTTTTAAACGTAATTATTTTTTTTACTACTATTGATTTTTAAAGTGTTTTTATGTATTGAATCAATTGCTAGTAATGTGATATAAAGTGACTTTGTAAAGCAACTTATTTTGTCATGAAACAGGCATTCTTATCTAATGATTTCAAATGATATCGTTAATCTTGATGACACTTTTATTTGTGTAATGAAACGTATCGTGAAGGTCTGTCAGAGTCAAAGTCAAAATTTGAAATTTCTACACGTCAAAACACCGATTTTGTCGTCGGTAAGAAATTTTATGGAGTGAAATTAATTAATTTTTCAACTTCAATACTCTTTTCAATATCATTATTTTAATTCGTATGATGCGGGTAAGTTATGAACATTAATTTTTATAACTTACCATAGAGGTTAAGTAGGCAGAAATTATATTATTTTTGTATGTCTATTTCATTAATTTTTATTTGGTTTTCTTATCATTAGTCATTACTTTCTTCCACTATCTTATCAATTTGTTATTCTTCAAGGTTGAGGTGTTATTTGTGTTTTGAGAAAATTTATTTGTACTCTTTTATTTCTTTATAAAAGTAAACTTTCATTTTGTTTTGTGATAATTTACAGAATAATTAAGTGAATTGTTATGAGCACTCAAATAATTATTTACTAGGTGAATAAAGGGTAGGTTCTAATAGAGGCTCATAAGCCTAATATGAAATCCTAGCCATTTTACTACAATTCCTTTTATTTTTGAGTATGGAATCATCAAATGACTCCTTCTGCCTTGGGTGAGGCGAGAGGGAGTGTTGACTCTTACTGTAAGGCGACTTTACTTAGTACAACCCATATCACTCTATTCATCAAGCCTTTAAACTGTCAAACACTAAGCGGTCACCGGTGACTGCAACCTATTGTTCTATAATTGTGTCTATAATGACGGTACTCAAAGGGTAAAGCCTTTAAACTGTCTATTAAAACTGTTAAAGGCTAATCCTCCGCTAGTGTCGGACATCATTGTCTGACACGGCGTCCAATGTGTTAAATTCAATTTATGCTAATACTAGCGACCCACCCCGGCTTCGCACGGGTGCAATATGAATGTATTATACATACAAACCTTCCTTAAGAATCACTCTATCTATTGAAAAAAACCCCATCAAAATCCGTTGCGTAGTTTTAAAGATCTAAGCATACATACGGACATACAGCGAAAGCGACTTTGTTTTATACTATGTATTGATATGGCTTTCATTTGGATGTCACCCAGTCAGTAAAAATAATAATAATAATATTAAATACATTTTTACAGATTTGGCAGTACAGCCTCATAAAAACAGTAGCACATTATAATTTAGTTCGACAAGTTATTAGAAACATGAGTACGAAGAAGATTGCCGTCTGTCAGATGACCTCCGTAGGGGATAAGGCAGCTAATATGGAAGTTGTTAGCAAGTTGATCAGTCAAGCGGTGAAGGAAGACGTTCAGGTATTTGGTGAATATTTGTGGTATATTCAAAAACAAATGATAAAGTTAGACCTAATCTCAGAAGTATATAGACATGCATTTAGCTCTCACTTTTCACCAGTTATGATATTTATTTATTTATTTTTTTATAAGCACATGTATAATTTTACAGCACAAGCCAAAACATTATACAGTTAAACAATATAATAATAACAATATGATATGCATCCTGGGTAATAGGACGGGAGCCTATTGCCATCCTGCAGGGAATTGTGCTCTGTTTATAGTAATAGACTCACCCCCTATTACATGGGACTCATAACATAAATAATGAAAAGTGGGTGTTACATTGTACAGTGGCATCAAGTACCGTAATGTGCACCTCAGTCTACTCCTTCAGGAATAAAACGGTGTGGAGTTATGTTATTCAGCCATCGCGGTAATCAACAAGAAACTTGAAGTATTCTCCAACAATACTTTTGAAACTCTACAAGCATGATACTAAAATAAAGTTTTTATTCAGGAAGAGAAGAGGAATCGTAGCGCTGAACTTTTTCCGTCCAGAAACCTTAAAATGATGACAATGCTTGACTAAAACGCCACTCTCAACCTTATTGAGCATAGTTTAAGAGCTATTTTCCATTGTTATTTTCTATTTTCAGATGATATTCTTCCCTGAAGCCTGTGATTATCTCTGTGATAACAAGAATGATACTTTAAACTTCGCTGAACCGATCATTGGTGGCGCCACTGTTAGCAAATACAAAGAGCTAGCGGTCAAGCATAATGTCTGGTTGTCTATGGGTGGGATTCATGAAAAGGTATGTGTGATAATTATTTATTACTAGCTACTTCCGCGTTTCACACGCTCTGCTCAGCTCCTATTAGTCGTAGCGTGATGTTTTATAGCCTGAAGCCATCCTCGATAAATGCGCTATCCAACACAAAAGAATTATTCAAATCAGACTTGTAGTTACGGAGATTAGCGCGTTCAAACAAACAAACAAAAAAACTAACTTCCTCTTTATATAATAGTATAAGATTAACTATTTTTTTAAACTTTGTCCCACACTTGAATTTTCTCCTGTGTCGTGAATGCGTTTACAAACATACAAGTTCACATACACATGACACCCAGACACGAAACAAGAATTTGTGGATCACACAAAGAGTTGCTCCGTGCGGGAATCGAACTTTGCGGTACCCTTTGGTACGGCATTGACTTTAGTAATTAATAGTAAGTCCATCTTCGTTAATTAAATTTTGTCGGCATTCTTTTTTACTGTTCGTGTGTGCTCGATTAGTTTCAAGCTTCATAGCTTGAAACTCAGACCAGGGTGCTTACTCTTGAAACCAATCTCAATGTCGATGCAATTTCAATCCAATAAAATCTCAATAATTATTCAATGTCAAAACTATACAACCACAATTGTAACTGTTACAATAGCATTCAGAGTACGGAATATAAAGCCAAACTGAATACCATTTAGTTCATTCAATATCCACGCAATACGAATGCAATGGGCGCTAGTGTAGCAACTCGAAGAGTACGAAATTTCACTATACCAATTTCGATCGATCGGAATTGGATTCAAGAGTAAGTCCGTGGTGAGCCCTGGTGGCTCATAATCACTATCAAATTATAGACATTTTCTCTTAAAAGACTTCAGAATGTTAATATTCTAACAATTAGTGGTCACACCACATTTTAAATTAATTGGCAACACTTGATTTTTATTTATATAGAGTTGTGGTGGCCTGGAGGTTTAAGACGCCCGCTTCTCATGCATGAGGGTACCCTCAGGTCACTCTCTGGCTTCGGAACGTACAATCAGCCAAAGTACCAATGTGACTTTTTTTTTTTTTTTTTAATTATTTAGACACCACTGACAAACGATGAAGGAAAACATAGTGAGGCGATGCTTATAATTTTAAGTTTAAAATCGCCAACCCGCATTGAGAAAGCGTGGCGATTATTGCTCAAACCTTCTCCGTGCGAGAAGAGGACTTTGGTCAGCAGTGGCCACTTATGGGCTATTAATGTTGATTTTTATTTATTCCAGGATGAAGCGCTACCATCAAAAGTTTGCAACACTCACATAATAATAGACAATAAAGGGACCGTAGTGCAGACATACAGAAAACTGCACCTATTTGATGTGGAGATTCCTGAACGCAATGTTAGATTAAAAGAGAGCGACTTCTGTGAACCAGGTAACCATATTGTGGCGCCGGTCGATACGCCAATAGGAAAAGTAGGTGAGTTTGTTAACTTGTTTTTTTTTTTATTATTTTAAACCGGTAAACGGGGAGACGGAACACCTGATAGTAAGCAATCGGCGTCGCCTATGGAAACCTTTTTTTTTTTTTTTTGAGGGGGGAAAATCATCCATTGACTTCTCCCGCCCGGGTGAGGCGGGAGGGAGTGTCAGACTCTTACTGACTAAAAACCACCCCGTTCCTACTATTGCGCTTCGAGGCGTAGCCCTGGCAACCCGTTAAGTCTTCCGCGGCTCCGTATCGGCATCAGCCCTGTTAGGCCCCATCTGTGGTGGTCTGATGGCTCCTTGAGGCGCGCGCTGAACGCAACGCGCCGTACGCTCGGGCCTGGTTCTGGTCGGGCGGCGAGTCACCCATGCTCGCCGTCCGCACGCCTATGGACACCTGGAACACCAGAGGCGTTAAAAGTGTGTTACCGGCCTTTTGGGGTTAGGAATTTGAGGATTGTTGGGGATTCAGGGATTGGGAAAGGGGTAATTGGGCATCCGGTAACCATATTCACACGACCAAATACAACTGCAGGCTTCGTGCTACTACTGAGATTTTTTTTAAAACCTAGTAATACTTTGCTTGACCCGGGAATCGAACCCGAGACCCCCTGACCAACAGTCGCACTTGCGCCCATTCGATCAACGACGCAGTCTAGAAAACTTTGTATTTATAGTTGTTTTAGAAATTCGTGTTTTGTGTTAAATCCCTAATTTGAGTTACGCCTCTTCTAGTTAATGGTTTAGGGGTTGAGTGAAACACGGCGTTCGGATACCGGATATATTTCGCGTAAGCCCCAAAGAGAACCGTTCACTCGGACCAGTGCGCAGTAACTGAGGCCTTAGTACAAGTTTGTTTATGCTTAAAATAATCGTAACGAGTACACGTTCGGCGCTCTGAGGGCCAAGCACGAATAACTATCGCATTCGTATCGTAACAGTATCGAGCGAGTTAAGCGTTCTGATTGGTTGGTTCACTTGAGCCGGCCAATCACAGCGCCGAACGCGTACTCGTTTCGAATACTTTCAACGTAAAACAAACTCGTAGTAAGGCCTCTGATTGGTTGGTTCTTTGGCGCCGGCCAATCAGAGAAGAGAAGAGAAGAACGTCGGCTCCAGTAAACCAACCAATCAGAGCGCCTAACGCGCTCGATACTATTACGTTACGAATGCGATAGTTATTCGTGCTTGGCACTCTGAGTCCTTAGTACGAGTTTGTTTTACGTTTAGAGTAATCGTTACGAGTACGCTTTCGCTCTGATTGGTTGGTTCATTGGCGCCGGCCAATCAGTGCGCCGAACGCGTACTCGTTTCGAATACTTTTAACGTAAAACAAACTCGTACTAAGGACTCTGATTCGTTGGTTCATTGGCAACGGCCAATCAGAGGCCTTAGCCGAGTTTATTTCACATATACTTACGTGTTCGGCGCTGATTGACCGGCTCCGATGAACTAACCAATCAGAGCGGTGAAGGCAGTCTCGTTTCGATTACTTTAACGTAAAACAAACTCGTACTAAGGCCTATGTCCGTTCCTCGTATATCTCACGCTCTCACATTTTTGCTTGCCTTGCACTCTGCCTTACATACTGACATGTGTACTACATTGTAATTTACTTTTTCAGGCTTAGGTATATGTTACGATATGAGGTTTCCTGAACTCAGTACATCATTGAGTATAATGAAAGCTGAAATATTAACGTTTCCTTCAGCGTTTACACAACACACTGGAGCTGCACATTGGCATGTTTTATTGAGGTAAAAATTTAATTAATTATTATGTTTTCGACTTACTTAACTGTTTGACGAGGTACTCGACTAGTTTCAAGCCATGCTAGAGGCTCGTATTTCGCTGATACTGGCTACTCAAGTCTGCGGTGCGTACCTGGCGCGCCCCCTGCCGTGATTCGCGCGCACTACCCTGCTGTCGGCGGCGGCGCGCGCGACACTGCTGGCACGCTAGGCTCGCTCGACGGCGCGCGGCGGCTACGCAGGCGTTGGGTTCGAATCCCTGGTCGATGCAAGAGGCCTGCCCACACTTCGTCTTCCGGTCCGTGGTCTCCACTCAAGGACTTTCCTGGCCCGATCTGCCGTTAGTCCATCGAGCGACGTGGCCTACCCATTGCCACTTCAATCTGCAGATTTTGCGAGCTATGTCGGTTCGGTGTCGGCGAATGTCGCGTAAAGGGACCCCGAGCATAGCTCTCTCCGTCGCGCGCTGATCGACTTTGACTAGAAATCCTGATATTTTTTTTATTTATAATAATAACTATCGTGAGACATACTTAATTAACTAAAAAACAAAATACCCGACTGCACACTAAAAAAAGAGTAAAACAAGCCCCACAATAATATTGATCAATCAAATGCTAAAAACTAATTATGTAATACCGTTTAAACAATACCTATATTAAAATACACTACAATATGTGTTCGTAATCGATAGTTAAATAAACAGAAACTTATTTTGAATACAAATTTACTGAATATAATTTATAAATGTTGATGGAA